AGTTGGTATTCACAATGGACATGTAAATATGTAATAAAGTGTCAACATGTGATAATTAGTGTAACGTTTTGATAACACATGAGCTAGTAAAAGTTTTGACCGATAATAAAATACATATAAACCCTTTAATAAAAGGGTTAAAATCACACAACCACAACATAATTTAGGTCATATTTTAGGTAACATATATTTTATGTATAATAACCAAAGTTGTCAACATCGAAATCTTACATATGATTGTTTTTTATTTTGTAAGATCGTGATCATAAGATTGAAAGATCCTACCACAATCATTAATTAATTCTTACGTATGAATTGTAGATTATATTAAAAATTAACTTTAAGTCAAATTCATAAATATATTTGAACTTGAACTTCAATTTTTAGAGAATTATGAACATTAATGACGTATTTGGTTGTAAAAAATTGTTTACAATTTTCTAGAAAACATTTTAAGAAAATAAAGTTGAGTTTTTATTTTCAGTTTCAATAAAATTTTTAGAAAAGACTTGTTTGGTTAAAATTGATAGAATTTTCATTTTTTATTGTTAAAATTTAGAAAATTATAAAAATCACTTTTCTAATTTATATACAACTTGAAAAACAATATATTTTCATTTCTTGAATTTTTTTGAAAAATAAATCAATCAAATGTGTTTTCAAAATTTCATTTTCATTTATAAGATTTTCATAAAAAACTGAATTTTTTTATAACCAAACACACCCTAAAAATAAATACTTACAAGAAGACCTCATCCTAAGGTCAATATCTATTGTTCACATACATAATAAAAATTACAAATTTATAACAAAAACTATAAATGACACATAAATTTCATTTCCTAATCTAAAGAAAAACTAGTCTACATATTTAATTAAAATAGAAAAATGAATGAATAATAAATTCTAAAATCCAATTATATTAGTTTTTTTTAAATAAAAGTATAAATCAATTTTAAATGTTTTCCTAGATTACATAAAACCTTAATAAAAAGATAAAAACGAAATAGCATTTTATTGATGATTTTTTTAATATATCAACATTATAAATGATCATATACACAATTTTACAACCATATTTACGAGTTTATGATTCTACTCTGATCTTATCCATAAATCAATTTTGCTAAGATATAGATCGTTTTTGGATGGTGGGGGTCGTAATAATATCTTACGATCATAATCATTAATTTTAACAACCAATCGAATTTAAAAAAAAAATCTAGTAAAGAACTATTCTCAGTAATTACAAAGTTCAAAGAATTAGATGTTGATTTTTAAGACAATCTAACAAAATATTAAGTAAAAAATAACATCTATAAATGCAAATAATAACTTATTATACACCCGGGATTCCGATACATCTAAATCATGAAACAAAAATATGTATGAACCAACTCACCAACCAAAAATGTTTACTTTGATAAGGACATATACTTATTCCATCTCCTTTGATAAGACTCCAATACCACATAACTATCAACACTCCAAGGTGTTGTTTTGTTCGTAGAATTTTGTTGAATAAATTTAAATTGAAATTGAAAAATGAATATGTCAGTAATTTGAATCAAATTTCGTATATTGTTTGGTTGGCAGGAAATGAAATTGAAATGAATTCCAGATTTTTTTTGGTTTGTAGTAAATGAAATTGAAATTCATGTAAAATAGCAGAAATGCCCTTGGAAACCTATAAAACAAATGTTGAAGCAAATTCGTTAGCTGATAAAAAAAATTATACTTTGGCCTTCAAACAACGATTTCAGTTCAAGTTTTTAACACAAATTCAACATGATATCAGAAAGCATGTAGACAACAGTCAAAGGAAGCAAATCGCAAATTTCAAATTCGAAATTAACAGCCAACAATTAACATGAAGCAAATTCATTATCCCTTTTCATTCGATTCACAAGAAGCAAATTCATAAAAAAAACTCACTAAAATCGACAAAAAAATTCGATTCACTGAGAGAGAGAGAGAGAGAGAGAGAGAGAGAGAGAGAGAGAGAGAGAGAGAGAGAGAGAGAGAGAGACGTGTGTTTTTGCTTGAGAGTTGTAGACGAAAATGGAAAAGACGATATGGAGAATTTGTCAGCTGCAATGGAGAAAAATGCTTTAACGTGAGATAGGTTGTTTTTTTTAAAAGTAAAATGGTTATTTTTATAATCTTCATTTTTCTTGATGAGAACGAATATTTTTTATACAACTTTGGAAAAAATTTACTTTCCTCCATATTGTTGAATATTTATTTCATTTTAGAATCTCTTTCTCCGATTTAAGTCCTACCAACACATGAATTCGAAAAAATTAAAATTCTTTTCCTCTAAATTTCATTCATTTTCTGCCACCAAACCTAAAAGTAATATGCATTCCCTAATCTATCATTGCCGAGTGTACCCATTAGGCCATTAAACCCAATGATTCTATTACCAACTTTTCAAGCCATGTATCCGTATCCAAATGTGATGACACGTCATTCAATAAATGATTTAACCAAATCTTATCCATATTACAACATCCATTAGGTAGTCCAGTACAAAAGAATTTTGCTACTTTATAATTAATAGGGCATTCTTTCCACGTCTTCAAAAGTAACCCTACAGCATAAAGGTTACTTTAAAAAAATATATACTATATAACAACTTGAGCAACAAACGTGTAGGATAGTAGTATCGCCATAGTAAACTTTCACAAATAGCCTTTGACCTCTGTCTCTTTAATGAAAGTATGCCATGCCATTCAACGTTTTTCAAAACTATGTTGGGAATGCTTGTACTCTTAATCGAAGTTTTTTTTTTTTTTTTGTTTAAATTGAACTTTTTTTCAAAAACTAAAAGCTAGAAGCTCTTAAACTCTAGCTACCAAACAAACTAATAGTACACACTTATTATTTTCATAAACGGTAAAAATTTATAATTTATTCCCTTTTTTTTACAATATAGCAATATTTGATAAAACTTAGATATGTGGTTATATCATATTTAATTTCCCTTGAAAAATGTTGCATACGTGCTAATATAAATATAGTATGCCACTCGTGTACCTACCACACTACTCACCCTTCTTTTCTTATGAAAAACATATAATTAAGATTAAACCGTAAATTTGGTCCATATGGTTAGAAAAAAAAATATGGATAAGGTCTAAAAACTTTTGAATTTGCATGGATAATCCAAAATCAAATCTTTTTTGTGTTTATGGTCCCTGAAAAAGTTGAAAGGTCAATTTTGTCATTTTTTTTTTGTCTATTTTTACATTTATTTTAATAGTTTTATTAATTTAAATAAGAAAGAAAAATAGCTTTGTTAATTTTAAATAAGAAGAGAAAGAAAGGGACTCTCTCTCACACACACCATTAGCATCATCGTTTTAAATTTCACCATATGAAATTCTATCATATTACAAACTAATAAATCACAAGAATTTCAAACAATGATAAAATAACCCGGATGAAAGTTCACTATTTGAAAGTCTATCAAAGGAGCTTATCAAATTTTTACAACTAAAAGAGAGAGAACACATGCTTATCATCATTTGTTTTGGATAAAAAACAAACACAAAGCATACACCATCCCATATTCTTCAACTCATATTCTCACCACCAAAATCAAACCCCCCAACTTTTAATCAACATCACATGCCTACAACATTAGATTATAGATATTTTGGTTTTGGTGAGATTAGAAAAAAAATGCTCATACCCCATCTCTCTATCTTCAATCCCTGTTTATCATTTTTCACCTTACAACATCACTATTCCTACAATCCAACCACCACCCAACCACCATATACCACCCTTATCCCCCCCCCCCCCAAACACCGAAGCTTCCACCATCACTGCCACATCCACCATAGATCACCTTCCACATCATAATGGTCCAAAATCAAATCTTTTTTGTGGTTATGGTCTTTGGAAAAATCGAAAAGTCAATTTTCTAATTTCTCATTATTCAATATCCATTAAAAAAGAGGTATTTCTCATTGACGGTGGTGGTAGGACCAACATGATCTCCCATTAGGGATAACGGATTATGAACTACTAATTTGTTAAATAAACAGAACTTTATTATTGAGATAATAATACAATTTTTTAATAAAATGATTTACAGAATTATGAGTATTTTTAACATACATTTTAAACCATTTGATGTGGTGGACCTATCTCGTTTTCTTAGGTAACACTTTTTTAATCATTTTACTAAATTTATTTCTTAACAAACCCTAGATGAGTCAAAACTGTCTTAGCCAAAGTAATTAATTGTTTATTTATATAATTTTTACCACAAAAAAATCTTGATGAACAAAATCTTTTCTTTTAAATTCTTTTCTAAGCATTGTGGAATCGTTCACAGCATTGCAAAACTGGTAATGTTTTTTCTTTGAAGGCTTTTGTTGATGAAATCTAACAAAAAAAAAACTATTTTGTTCAAAAAAATAGCGAGTATGAAATAGAGTAATTGTTGAAATATTCAAAGTACCTTAAACAAAGATTGTTGGAAGTTTTAAATTTCACAGTAAACTTTATTGCGAAATCAATGATCGTAAAAGATATGATTCTTTTGTGTGAAAGATATGAATTTCTTTGTAAATGATATAATAATTTTCTATTTTCTAAAAAAAATTACTTTTTTTACAATCAGTTCTATCTGATTTTCTAATTTTGAGCTTATAATCTTTACAGCTAAATCAATAAGTAACTCATAATAATACATTAAAAAACTGTTTTATAAGCTTTTTATTGAATTTGATAAAAAAAAAAAAACTGGGCATTACTCGATCAAATTCTAGTTGATATTACAATTAATTAAACCTAGACTCAATCAAATTGTGACTCAATCAAATAATCATCTATTAAACAACCCTAAATCCTATTCTATATAATGAACATTCATTTTTATATTAAAATTTGATATTTCGTTTATCAATTTGTTACAAGTCTGACTATTAACCGGTCAATCAGTTGTCTGATTACGTGTCAGTTTTGATGATATGACATGACATATCATGTTGAGGTATCAAAGTTGATAAAAAGTGTTACAAATGACACTAAGTTTTCATTTGTTTCAATTTTTATACTTAGTTTTTTTATTCATACTGACATTCTATTTTTTGTTCCAAATCGAATATTATTTTTGCTAATTTTGTTCAATGTTGACACTCCATTTTTTGTTCAAAACCGAACATCATTTTGTCAATTTTGTTCAGTTTTAATGACGTGTCACTTCATTTTTTTTGTACAAAATCGAACATCATTTTTTTTGCTCCATTTCAAACTGAGAAATAACTTTTTTTACATTTGAAACCGTATAAATATATTTTTTTTTATTTAAAAACCATATTTTTTGTATAAATACAAGACTTTTTACATTCAAACCATAATATTTTGTATAAATATATATTAATTATATTATAACCATATTTTTCATTCACTATTTGGTTATATGACACTGACGTAACGGAGTAACACGAAACTATATTTGTGATAATCCAAGAAAACTTGATATGAATTTCATGCAAAATCTAAAAGTCAGAAACATAGAATAATTTATTTTGTTTGAAGTTCTTTGAAAGAAGATTTTTGTATAATAATGTTAAGCAATGAAGAAGTATATCTGCAAGAACAAAAAATCATGAATATATAGAACAGACTCTTAGTAATTAAAACAACCCCAAAGCTTTGTGTTTCCGATATCATATTAGATAACATTATAGTTTGAATGTAAAATTTTTGTATTTATACAAAAAAAATGTGGGTTTTAAATGATAAAAAATATATTTATATGGTTTCAAATATAAAAAAATATTTATATGATTTCAAATAAAAAATGGTCCATACTGAACAAAATTGAATATATATATATATATATATATATATATATATATATATATATATATATATATATATATATATATTCAAACAAAAAAACATGGTGTGTCAAAATTGGAATTTTGTTTTTGAAAACTTAATATCAAAATTGAAAAAGAAAAAAAAAAACCCTTAGTGTATTTTGTTCATTTTTCCATAGTGATTAAAACTGAAGTATTATCATGTTATATGCAGACAACCCGGTTAACCAGAACGATAAGAAATAAAAATTGTAACAAATTAATAAATAAAATATCAAATTTGAGAAAAAAAAAAAATAATAATTTAGATACATTTTGGAACACAGATATATTTGTTTTTTTTTTTTTTTTTTTGCTTTCTAACATACTTTTAGGCTTTAGCAAGGTAACATAATAACACCTACAGCCACAACTCTATCCCACTATATATAGAGTTGGGCGTGTTTTATAAAACCCCCAAAATGCCCCCGCTCTTTCCTCAGTCGCATTTCCTCCCTTTCTCGTTAAAGCTCTAAATTCCGATCAAGTTCCGATTATCCGATAGCTTCTTTTTTGTAACCTTTATATATTCCGGTAATTCCTCCGACTCCTATTTTTATTATACAAACTTTGATTGTGTGCGTTGTTGTTATAAGAAATGGATTCGTACTTGTTCTTTATTTAATTTCAGACATACGCTTGGATTTCTTTTCTTTCGCACAGAAAAGTTGTGGATGATTGTGAGATGAAGTAGACTGAGCTACTTAATCCTTATAAACGCAACAATGATCCTATTATGAATGTTGAATTTCATTTATGTATCATGTATTCTATTCTTACTAAATCTCTACCTTTCTTCCAGGACTAAATAATCAAATCAAATTGGCAATGGAATGCGAAAACTATTTCGCCGATGAATTTAAACCCGACAAGTCTTTGCCCTGTTTCGACTGCAGTATCTGCCTCGACTTCGCTAAAGATCCGGTGGTCACTCTATGCGGCCACCTCTATTGCTGGCCGTGTATCTACAAATGGTTATCTTTCCCCACCGATTCCGGCGCTAATCCGCCATGCCCCGTCTGCAAATCCGAAATATCCCACACCTCCGTCGTCCCTCTTTACGGCCGCGGTAAAACATTTTCCGACAACGAACCTGGCGGCAAGACTACAAACACCACCGCCGTTATCCCGCCTCGGCCACACGCCGCCCTCTTATCCCCGCCCAGTTCCGGCCGTCAACCACCGTACGGAAGCTTCAGTGACGGCGTCGATGGTTACAATCCGAATGTATGGATGTACGGAGAAATGATTTACTCTAGGGTGTTTGGGAACTCGCAAAGTTTGTATACGTTTCCGAATTCGTATCATCTGGCTGGGAGTAGTAGCCCTAGGTTACGAAGGCGAGAGTTGCAGGTTGATAGATCTTTAAACAGATTGACTTTTTTTCTCTTTTGCTGTTTCTTCTTGTGCCTTCTCCTTTTCTAGTCCAGGGGCATGTTGGGGATGAGGTCGTTTGATAGTTGGTTGCCCTGATTAGGTGAAGATTAATTTAAGAAGTCAATATCTGACGGGTGTATCTCTTGAATCCCATTGAATAAGAGGCATGTTAGATACACTCTTGAATCTTATTGAATAAGAGGCGGAGTAGCAGAACCAAATTATTAACTATGGTATTAATACATTATACATTATAGTGGCATTATGTATATTTGAGATTATAGATATAGATTATATATGCTTGTTATTTGTACATATTTATAGACAAAATTGCAAAATTTGTCCAAAAAAATTATGCTTTTGACAAAAAAGAATGTTTAATGATGTATCATTAGTGTGATCTTGGATATCTTTAATGATTTTGGTTTCTATATACTTAAAATTATTTTATACGTTTTTAATTTATTAATTTTTCGTTTTTTAATTGTTATAATAACTAAATTAATTTATTTAACCTCCTACTAACCTATCTACCCACTCCTTATTCTTTAACACATCAACCCCATTTCTTTCTTTCTCTTCACTGTTGCTAGATCACCACCACATGCGGACCACCCTATTAATCGGAGACGCCCCTTTTCGTTGGACCACCCAAATAAGGTGATGTAGATTTGTACTTTCGAAGAAGTAGACCTGAAAACGTTATGTTGATTTTCGTAGATCTGAACCGCCGACGACGGCGTTGTAACTCGACTTTGCTGGAACCGTAACATTATCTGGTGCCGAAGCAGAAATAGAGAATGAAACCCTAACTCTATGGTAACCCTAACGTCGGCTTGTTGATGACATCTGAAGCGTTTTCATATCTGTGTAAGTGTGTGTGTGAGGGAGGGGGATACGTTGTTCTGGAGAAAAGGGCAATGTTCTGGAGAGGGTTTTCAGGTTGACGACGTTCTAGCGCAAAGGGTACTGTCGTCTTTCAGATCTCCATGTCATTTTCAGATCTGGAAGCCGTCACCGAATGAAGCTAGGCTTTGCAAACCCTAGACCACCTAGGACATCGAGAGAGAGAGAGAGAGAGAGAGAGAGAGAGAGAGAGAGAGACGAGGAGGAGGCAGCGACAAGGAAACCCTAACACTTGCCTCCGTTAACAATCTATTTGGAGAAGACGAAGGACGTTGCAGGTGGGGTTTTCGGCAAAACACAAGCAAATCTTGACTTATCATTGGTACTGATGGTGGAATAGATGTGTGGAGATAGTGGTGGTCCTGCGGCGGTTGTGGTCCGACACATGGTTGTGTTTGACAACAATAAAAGAGAGAGAGAGAGAGAGAGAGAGAGAGATGGATATATATATATATATATATATATATATATATATATATATATATATATATATATATATATATATATAGAGAGAGAGAGAGAAAGATAAATATGAAGTCAATGTCTTTAAGGAGGTGTTTATTTTTTTGAAACGAAAATACATGAAGTCTGCGGACCACCTCTGCAACAAGCCAACACTCTACAGTAGAAGAGGTGGACCAAACGTTTGCAGCCTGTAATAAGAAACATATTTGTTTTTTAACATTTGCAGACTGTTGCAGTAAACTGAAATTTAAATAAACTAATTTTATAAACTGAAAATAGTTTTCAACACCGAAATTTTAATAATTATAGTTTTAAAACATTGAAAGAATACTAAAAAGAACATATAAAAAAAATAAAATATAAAATTTCTAAAAAAAATATAAAAGAAGCTATAAGTTTTATTTTAGAAAAAAACTAATTTTAAAAAACATAAAAAAAAGAAAATAAAATAAAATTAAGAAAATATTGCAAACGATGTCTATAAAGTTCATAAAAGAATTACACATGTTAAAAAAGATGCAACTGAAACTGAAAATATTATTAACAGAAACGGTAAAAAAATTAAAAAAAATCAAAGTTTTTTTTTTTAATCAAGTTATAAAAAATTGTGGAAACTATAAAAAGAAATTGTATCAAACCCGTAAATCGAAGTTTAGAAAAAACCAAAGTTTAAGAAAAAAAAAGTTATACAAAAATTCTAAAATAATAACTTGGAAAAAATGAAAGCTGAAAAGGTTTGAAAGGCAAGTCAAGTGCTGCACCGCACAAAACATACATAGAAGTTTTGTAGTCTAAAGCATTCCAAAAAACAAACTACTACGAGAAGGCAAGTGTAACACCCTGTTTGGATCATTCTGTAATTCATGGCTCGTGGGCCGTAAATTGATTATGTGAAGACTTTGGTGCTTCGATAAAGTAAAGTTTAGGCCTTATTGAAGGTTAACAAGTTTGGTTGTGAGATCTAAGCCTTTGAATCGTGAGTGGGAACCAAGGGTGAATTGGGGAAAGATGGGTGTCAAAATGCTTGCAAGGTTTATAATTTTGAGTTTGAATTGTCTCAAGCAAAATTTAACAATATAGGGTTGTAGAGCTTTTCAAGACCTTTCTGTGGATATAAATAACGCCAAAATCGGAGTTAGAACGAAAAAGTTATGTTCGTTTGGAGTTTAAATGAAAAACAGACTTTATCCAGTACATTGGGCGTAGCTAATTACGCTGGGCGTAATTACACAGGGTGCAAACCCTAATTTTTCGGGCTTGAGCCATATTTAAGCAACTTAACTCTTGGAAACTCTCTCCATATTTAGCCTCCATCCTCTCCACAACTTCATGTCGAAACCTTAGCCCCATTTGTAAAGATTTTGAGCTTCTTGAGTGTTTATTAGGTGTTTTTGGGTAAATCTTGAAGAAGAAGAAATCCACCATTGAAGCTTGGTGAAGCTCAAGCTTGTGGATTTAGAGCCTACATTGCTTTTCTCAACTCCAGAAGGTATAAAGCTTGAATCTTGATGATGCATTTGTTAGATCTAGCTAGTTTTGGGTTTTATGATCTCTTTGCTCACTTTAGTGCATAAAGTTTAGACCTTGAAAGTTTGTGACCTTGTTATAGATAAAGTTGGAAACTTTATCTAACTTTATCCATCTAAACATCATTTTAATTCAGATATGAAGGTTGGAGACTTGGACTTAATAGATTCAGTTGAGAAAGATGCATTTTTGGTCCCTCTGAGACTTAAAGACTAGATCTTGATTGTTTGGACTATCCTAATGGATAAAGTTGGAAACTCTATCCCTTATGAAGCTATTGGGAGTCATAAAAATGTGACCTTGGTCCCTAGTTTTCCTACATGCATCATCTTGGATGTATTAATGAGTTAAGAAGTTAGGGTTTTTGATGTTGAAGACTTAATAGCCATGCAAGACCATAAAGTTGGAAACTTTATGGTTAAGGACATCATTTGAGGGCTAGATCTGGATTTTGAACGAAAGAGCTTAAAGGATTAAGCTCTTAATGGAATGAGAGGATGGCAACCGTGTACGTTGGGCGTACCAAAAGGTATAATGCGTGTACGTGGTCAGCCCCTCGACTTTTGGTCAAGACGTAGTATGCCCCGCGTACGTGTTGAGTACGCCCAACATACTCAACTGAGTTAACCCGATCGACTTAGTTGACTTTTGACTCTGACCGGGATTTTGACCAAGTTTGACTTAAGGGCATTTTAGGTAATTTGATTTATAGTTTGAGATTTGGGTCCCTGTTAATTGTATAGGTGACCGTTAGAGATAGTTTTTAGAGCGGTGATCCGTACAACTATTCTTTCAGACTGTGAGGTGAGTCTTCTCACCGTATCCATGGGTCGAAGGCACCAATGTCGACCCATTATTGTGCTATTTTGGATGATAGGTGTTATATGGCTTATATGAGTTTGTATGATGGGTTGAAATAAACCCCAGGGCGCGGCCCATTATCGTATGTTCGGGTTGAAATAGACCCCAGGGCGGGGCCCACTATTGTATGATTGGGTTGAAAGATACCCCGAGGCGGGGACCATATATGTTGATCGGGTTGAAAAACACCCCAGGGCGAGACCCCAAGGCTGGGCCCATATATGTGTATTGGGTTGGAATATACCCCAAGGTTAATCCCAGTTGTATGATTGGTATGTGGTACTTTGGGGAACTCACTAAGCTTACATTTTATGTTTATGATTTCAGGTATTTCCGTTTTCAAAAGGAAAAATCTGACTTGATCGCACTGCATCCCCTGAAGATTTATTCAGCAATGATTGTTTATGATTTACTCTGATGTTTTGAGAATGCTTTTACTCTGATCGTCTTTTGGGATGATGAATGAATGATTTTGACTTAATTAAAATAAAAAATTTTACTCGATATTTTTGGGACGTTACATGACAAGTGTTGCGTGTGTGCTGCACCGCGCATCAAAAAATGGTATGAAGATGTTTTTTTTTTAAACGCCTTAGTATAACTGGTGGATGCCTTAGTAGGTGGTGGGGTGGGTGTGACTTGGGAAGAGTGGGATAGGTGAGATTGTTTTTACTAAAATAATAAAAAAAAATAAAAGAAATTAAAAAGGATTTACTTAAGAGCATGTTTGTTGTTTTTGGTTCGATGAACCAAAACCATACAAAATACCAATCATAAAAGCTAAAATCACACATCAAATAAGATATCAAAATTAGACCAACAATGCTTCATTAATTTTTTTTCAGATTAAAACCATTGTTTTTTGACAACCACATGGACACTTTTTACAATTTTGTCTAGATAATATATTGGGAAAATGACATAAATGCCCTACAAACTATCTAGGGTTTACCCATTTAGTCACTAAAGTTTTTGTCGGGCTTTATGGGTCCCTAAACTAGGATATGACCTGCTCTTTTAGTCCATGTCAACCTGTAATAGTCGGTTCAGTGACCTTTAGACAAAAAAAAACTCACATTGTGCCCCTATAAAGCCAAAAAAATAAGTTCGGGGATCAAGTCGTAACAAATAATGATTTAAGTGATAGTTATGTTATAAAAAGTGGAAATATTGGATAACTTTACGAAAAGCCTTATATAAATATGGCTATATCTTTCTTTTTTCTTTCGGTTTATTCCTCCCAAAACACTTTTACGTGTAAAGTTTCTAAACTTCTGTTTTCATCAAATTTAGATGAACAAAATTTTAAGAAATATACAAATATAATCTTTGAGAGT